GGCTAACAATATTGTTTCTCTGGGAAAGTCATTATAGTCTTGGCTCTCTAAGCAATGAATTCTTGTGGTCTAGCAACCAAATAGTTACATGTTTTGAATCTCTTAGCAAAAGCAAGAGTGGAGACAATGAACCAGTCTTCCAAGAAAGCCAGCTTCCCCCTTGAAACCAGCTCCACCCATGCTTCACAACCAGGTCCGTGACCAAGTCAAGCGGTTTGGGGGCAACTAGGTGCAATACATTTGCATGGGGGGCCTTAGGGCTGACTACAAAAGAAACTGGGCAGGAACGAAAGTGGGGGATTTCAATCAATATTGATGCCTTCCAGGTCAAGGATGGGGCTGAGGGTGGACATTTTCTGTTGAGTCAAATCTGAGAAAGGGCTCTTTTTGTGGAACAAGAGCCAGCAGGAGAATTTTCATGCTGTGAAGGTGTCAGCACAGGCACAGAAATGTCCTCAAAGTGTCACTCTCTTCATATCAGCTCAGGAGTCCTGCAGAAGAGAGAAGAGTGTTATGTCCACAACTAACTCTAAAACAGTTTCCTTTCCTGTCTCAGGGCCTCATGTGTTCTTACTGGAGTAAGAAAGGAGAAAATTCTTACATTACTTTGAACCAAAGTTACTTTAGAGTGCAGCCCTTTAATTGGGTGGTAAGAAAAAACACTAGTGCCAGGATAGGAGTCAGCCCCAAAGTCCTTCCTGTTATTTGTATCTTGAATCATGTCACTGCTACATGAATTCTATGGAAGCTGAATATGTCACTGAAAAATGATTAAAGAGCATTCATTACCTGTTGGCTGAAATCCAAATGTCCTGGGAAAGAGAAAGGAAGATACATGCTTAAAAGATATAGGTACAAGTCTGTCCCCACATACAAAACCCCCAACTCCCAACTCCCACCCCTGGAGGTTTCTCTAGGGCTACAGTACACATTACCTGATGCCAGTGTAGAAAAGAAAGTGTACCCTGAAGGCAGGGAACCCATGAAACCCTGCCAAACAAATTCATTACCATTTCATCAGCTTTAGTGACACTTGGTCGTTTGCACAAGGATCTCACCCTGAGGCCTTGTTGAATGATGACCCTTTTCTTACTTCTACAAGTCATGACCACTTGAGTTTCAATATGCTAACAATAAACTGTTGATTTCTGTACTTCCATAAAATGTGAAGTCAGTTGAGAAAAGAAAGATTTTTATAAGGTCACCCATATACAGATAATTAAATTGAACAAAGTCATATTTCTTTCCCCACAAAAGCCCAAGGGAAGTTTCAGCTACCAATTTCCTTACCTTTCTGATTCCTGAAGTAGATGAATAGCCCCACCCCGAGGAAGAGAAGACCAAAAACAAAGCCTCCTATCCCACTCAGCATCTTTCTCTGGGCAGATTCAGACTGTGCCCCTGAAAAGAGAGTCAACTTGAATGAATCTACCTCAAATCCAACTTTTCTAATATATTATGAGTTTAGAACTTTGAGAAAAGGAGATGACTACCCCACCAGCAGAACTAGAATAACTGGCCTTTTCTGCAAGAAAAATTTAAAAATCAGAGTGGATATAAGATTCAGGTATTGAACTCATCTACTATCACAGCTTTGCCATGAGGTCACAACTTCAACATCTGATGGTGAGGATCCTGAGTCTCCAATAGGTTGAGTAGCTTATTTAGGGTAATACAGCTAGTAAAAGACCAAGCCTCAACTCCTCTTTCATCAGAAATGTCCCTACGAGGTACAGGAGGTTCCTCTTCTCAAATCCCAAGCAATGACTCAAAATAACACGTAGCCATGGCCTGGGAACACTCAAGAAAAGGCCCACCACTTTTCTGTCTCGGGTATAAATGCCTCCATATGACACAAGCTAAGCAACCTCTATTGTCAGACATGTTCCAGACGGAGGGGAAATGCCCTAAAAAAAATCAGAATAATTAAATTGAACAAAGTCATATTTCTTTCCCCACAAAAGCCCAAGGGAAGTTTCAGCTACCAATTTCCTTACCTTTCTGATTCCTGAAGTAGCTAGATTCCATGCTAGCTCATACTATGACCCCCCCTTTTTTATATAATCAAAATATTGCTAGTAATGATAGTTTCCTATTGGACTGCCTTAAGGTTTTGCCTGGTTCAGGAGAGCAAGCACTGCCCTAGGATGGAAAAGTTCTCTTAAAATCAAAAATATTACAACTGGACAATTAATAAAAACAATTATAACAAAAATTAATGTTGTAAGACAAGGCAGTACTAGAATAATCAGAATTCTTTTACTGCCCAAAGGAGAACCCAAATCCCATCTCTCTACTATCTCACATAAATCTTCTATTCAGATTCTAAGCTTCAAATAAGGAACTTCACCTAAATCCTCCATTCAGCTTTTAAGGAACTTTACTGAATCTCTTGGTAATTGACTCACCAGAGAATTACTCCACCCTAGCCTATGACCTTACTCTATCCTTCTTCACATCTCCACCCAGTCTCCACTCTAATCCTTGACTTGACTTTATCCTCTAAAATGTCTTAGTAAAAATCAAGGACATTGTGACCCCAAACTGCTCTCAGAAAAAAGATTGACATCTTATCCCCATTCATATGTTAATTGCTTGCCTAAAAGTATATAAATAAACTTCTGCAGAGGACAGAAAAGGAAGACTTGCACCCAACTCTGACTCCCCTGTCTTCCTCACACTCACAGGCGCCACTGGCACTTTGAGACCCTGCCTGTTCTGCCCCCCCCACCCGGATAATCTGTGACTGGGGCCAGTCCCAACATCCATAAGCAATAATAAGGACAAAGGTATCTGTAGAAACTATCACAGGGCTATCCCCAATAACCTGTGCTGGAGGAGAGAACACCAAGCTAATGAATATATGGTGTGGGCACAGGAGAAACCTGAGACTCAGGAATAAACAAAGTCCCCTCCTGGGTCAGGGAGAAAGATTTGAGGTAGGAAAGCTTCTCACTCCACTCCACTGTGATAGGGCTCGTCAGGCTTGGGTGCTCCACATGGCAGGTGTAGACCTCTCCACTCTGAGGCATTGTTTCAAGCATCACCAGGACCTGGAAGGCCCACTCTCCATTTTGAATCAGGCCTGTGGAAATGATCCCAGCTACCTCCTCCTGGCCATTCCGGAACCACTTGACTTCAATTTGGCCTGGATAGAAACCATTCACAAAGCAGACCAGGAGGCTGTGGTGCTGCAGGGATGAGGCCTTGGTAGGATACACAGTCACTGTGGGCTCAACTAGGGAGAAAAATAAAGGAAATAAGTGAGAATGATGAAATAAGAGGCCTTGGTTGGCTGCCTTTCTGCCCCCAGGCTCTAGTCCCAGGTTATGTTGCAGACAGATCTCACCCAAAGCCAACCACATTGCCCAACAAAAATTTGTGCTGCCAAGAGCCTTGACTTTAACCTTAGAGCATGGGTGAAACCCATTAGATTTGAGAGATGCTACAAAAGGGATTTTTTTAATAGCATAAAACAGTTATTTATCTCAAGTGTTTATAAACCCTTGCAAGGCACCTGGTGTATTAACTAATAGCATGATCTATAGCCATCTTCCTGGGTTCAAAATCTAGGTTTGTTATAGGGCACCTCAATTCAGAGAGAGGCACCCCTGAGGCCCCAAAACCTGCCTGCTCTAAGTGGGTTCTGCCATCCGCCGCAACAAGACAAAACATATAAAGCTTTAATGAAAAGTGACTTTAATACAGTGAATATACAATACGAAACACAAAGAAAGTAACTTCTAAATCAAACACCTGAAGTTACCCATCCCCTCGTGGGCAAAAGTCAACCCAAAAGGGATTGGCCCAAAGCAATGCCTGAAAGTGGCCACAAGACTAAAGCACCTTCTGGCCGGGACCCATGGAAAAGGGTCAGAAATTGCCAGACAAATCTGAGAGGAAAAGAGCAAAATCAAAATCAATATAAACACTGCCATAGTCACCTCCCTACAGGTCTCTCACCCACATCTGCCTTAACCAGTCCAGGGTCAGGAAACAAGCCCGGTTTCTTCATCACATGTTTGCTGCTCCATGTGGCTTCCTTAGGTCTCCTTCTCCATCTGCCTCCCTCTCTTCTTCTCTCTCCTTTTTCTCTGCTCAGTTCCACCCTCCTTCTGGGTGGGGCAGGGAACCTGGAACTTCCCTTCTCCTAGGGACCACCCAGTTACAGGTTCTGGTTCTTACCAACTTGGAAGAGTTTTAATTCTGTGCCTCAGTTTTCTTCTTTATAAAGGGGAATTTAAAAGAGAACTGGGAGTCAATATATAGACATTCTTAGGGTTTTAGGAGAATTATATGGGCCTAAAATATGTAAGACAATGTCTAGAACTTTGTCTTCAATATAAGTTAGCTATTTACTATCCTTGTTAACTTGGATAGAAAAACAATTTAAAGGCGTATGATGAACTGAAGAACAGCAGTGGGGTAAATGGGGATATAGAGTGTGAAATCCCAGAAATGTCACACTCACACTTTACAATGCCAACAGAAATGGCTTTACTCTGGAAGGCTCTAGTAGACAAAGTGCCTCTCACACTGTATGAGTTGAGGGCCAACAAAACCTGAGTCCTAACAGAAGAAAAGGACAATGGGGATCATTATTGGCAAGGGTGTGGGAAGAAGAAACACCTATCCATTATTGGTGGGAATGTAAGCTGGTGCAGCCTCTATGGACAGTAGTGTGGAGGTCCCTCAAAAAATTAAATAAAATAAAACAAAAGAAACTGGAAATAACATAAGATCCAGCAATACCACTGGTAGGAATTTACCCAAAGAATATGAAAATACTAAGATGAAAAGACCCATGTACTTCTGTCATTACAGTAGCATAGTAAAGGCATAGAATCAACATCAACAAGCAGATAATCAGATAAAGAATTGTGAGATATAAATTTAACTCTTAAACTCTGTTGAATCTATGGTGGTTATCAATAGGGAGGGTTGTGGAGAGAATATGCACCTGAAAGTATACTCCCAAGGGTGAAGATATCCTCTCAAGGGTGAAGGTATCCTCCCAAGAGTGAAGGTATCTTTCCAAGGGTGAAGGCATACTCCCAACCATGTATTTCTGCAAATAAATGGAAAATCAATAAAGTTTTTATGGAAAAATAAAATATAATTACGTTCAACAGAGCCCTCTTCCTTTGAAAAATAAACATATCAAATATTGAATTTGTGATCCTTTTATAACTCTTTTTTTAAGATGATATTTGAGTCAGGCTAGGACCTGGGACTCACTAATATGTGGGCTTCCCAGTGTAAAACCATTTCTGTGTCATTGTATAGTGGAACAGTAGCAATCTTAAAATTTTACACTCTTTACCCTTCTCCACCTCAATTCACTACACTGATTTAAATTGTGTTTTTGTCCCAAGTTAACAAGGACAGTAAACAGTTAACTTAATTTGAAGACAAAGTTGCAGACATTGTCTTACATACATTAGGTCCATATAAATCTCATATAACCCTAAGAACTTATATATACTGACCCTCAGTTCTCTTTTATGCTCCCCTTTATAAAGAGAATTAAAAATTCTCCCAGGATAAGTTGGTAAGGGACAGAGCTTAGATTTTTGAACCCAGGCATCATGACTAGAAAAAATCATGTTATTAATACATCTAGTGCCTTGCGAATGTTTGTAAACACTTCAAATCAACAATAAATAACCATTTCTACTATGAAAAAGAAAAACAAATACCCTCGGCATCTCTCACATCTAATGGGTCCCCCCATGCTCTAAGGTTAAGAACCTGGACTTTAACCTTAGAGCAGGTTCTTGGCACTAACTCCAGAGGTGTGAGAAACAAAATTTAAAAACATTTTTACACTATCACAAATGGTAGGATTAAGACTGGTGGTAAATTATTGCTAATTTTGCATAATATTTAATTTAATTAAAATATTTAAATTCATATAATAAGCAGAATAAAACACAAAGCACAAACTAGAGAAAATGCTGAATCATATATGGGTAAAGTATTAATCTTATGGCATAGAGAATCCATAGAATCACTGAGAAACAACTAAAACCCCAGAGATAATAAACAATAAAAAATGATAGATAATTCTAAGAGCAGGAACAGCAGTTAGCAAAAAAAAAGAAAGAAAACGAAAAAAATGTTCAAGAATATTAAAAAACAAAAAAATAAAAATTAAAAATAAGTCAATATTTCTCAATATTGAAATAAATCTAACAGGGATAATGTGATATAAATTGTTACACCTATAAAAAGAATTAATATATAACTACTTAAATACTATTAGTACTAAAAAAAATAGTCACTTCATGTTAAGTGACACAAGCTTAACTCAAAAAACTGATTCACCACCATTTCAACTATGTAAATATATATACACACACAAGTGTGCACATGTATACATATTTGTGTATGTGTATATTGAAGGAATGGAGGAAGTAATGCAGACCTGAGCAAAACTAGCCCAGGCAAGCACCCACAACCCCACCCCCCTGCCCCCCCAACCCGGAATGCAGGATAGGTTGAAGAGGGACAATGGTCATTTAAATTGATTGGATAATGGGAATGGTGTGGCCCAGGCTGATTGGACTGGAGGCACTAGGAAATGAGACATCTATTCCTGGAAACCTGTCCTTGGGTGGTTGAACTGTGACCCAGGCTGTGACGTCTTTAATCTTTAATCCATTTGCTAAGTTGAATTTGTGCGGGCAATGACATAAGTAACGCCCAATAGGCCTATATATTCCCTGACATTCCTTTGGTGGGGTCTTGCCCCAACCCTGGGTCCTGTGCGTCTGGCAGGGAACGGCTTGACCCAGCCCAATAAACTCTACTTTGCGAATTGCATTCTTGTGTGACGCTCTGTCTTTCGGGTATCGAGTTCTCGGACCCTAACATATATATACATACATACATACATATATAATATATATGTGTGTAAGAAAATCAAAGTAAGAATTTGAGACCCAAAAGAAACATCAAAATTAAAGAGTATTAGAAGGTCCCTCTCCCTCAAAAGTTCATCTGAGCATTCCTGTAAGTGAGAAGCTTATGCACACAAACGCAAGCCCCCTATTTCAGAGTATCAGGACTAAGGAGGGGTGTGACAGCCTCCTTACAAGGCGTGAATTACATTACAGTCCTCAACTCTCCTTCTTAAACCTACAACCTTAAAGACACTTTAAAACCTGTTGTCCACATTTCTTTATTGTTTGTACAGAGAAAGAGAAAAAAAAATTATTGATAGGGAGGTAGGAAGAAGTACAGGAAAACTCCCAGCCAATCAGGTTTCCCACAAATCACCCTTCCAATCACTCCCCCTTTTCTCCCCCCACTCACTATTCTCACAGCGACCACCAAGGACATATGAGACCCTCCTACTGCACCCACTCACACTTTTACACGCACCACACACACCCCATTCTCTAGCCAGACCCTGCACCACACATTCTGATCCATCTCATCTGACAGTACACCACTCACACACACACCATCCCCTTAAATTAAAACTCAAAATTGACACAATCTCCTCTCCCTCTCTCTCCGTCTCTCCCCCTCTCTCTCCCTCTCTCCTTCCCTCTCCCTCTCACTCTTCCTCCCTCTCTCTCCTCCCTCTTCCTCTCTCTTCCCTTTCCCCCAACTCTCTCCCTCTCCCGCCCCTCACCCCACACCCTAGCTGCGCCCTGCTCACCTCTCCGCTGCACTGTGAACCTGTGAATAATCTCGTAGTTGTGTCTGCAGAATGTGTCCACCTCGGCCCGCAAACGCTCCAGGATGTCCTTCTGTTTGTTCCAGTACTCGGCGCTCCACCGCCCCAGCTCGGAGACCGCACGGAACTCCCCCACGTCGCTGTCAAAGCGCACGTATTCCTCCCGGTTATAGAAGTATCTGTCCAGAAACCGCACCCGCTGCGTGCCGTTGGAGAAGTGACACTCAGATAAAGCCTGTTCTATGAAATACACTGAGGGGACAGAAACGGTCAGGTTACACGGGTCACCTGGGAAAAAAACTGAGACGCCCACCACTGTGAAGAGAAGTACAAGGACCCCTAGCGGCTCCACCTACACCCCCAACTACCAGCACATCACGGTTCACCCTTCATCAGCCTGGCAGGAGGAAGCAGCACCCGAGGGGGCAATCCCTCCAGCTTGGGGCCACCCCCAGTCTCCGTGCCTGACTGGAGTCCACAAGTCAGAAATGGACAAGGACCTGCCCCATCGCCTCTGCCTACACACCACCTCCTTGAAGACTCCACCCTGAAGTCACCTTCGCTCCTTATTCCACAGCTCTGTATCTCCCTGAAATAAGCCCCCTCATTCTGTAACCATTTACCAAGGGCTGACTTTCTGCTAGGTTGTGTTGCCCCCTGGGAATACAGAGAAGAGAAAAGCAGACTCTCTCTTTCCTCCTGGGGAGCTTAAACTTCAGTAAGCGTGATGGACAAATCCCCATCACACAAGAATGTGCATGAGAGTGAGCGGTGTCCAAAGGGAAGGGTGGATGGAGGTCTGGAACAGAGTAACATTGTGATAAGTTAGTCGAGAGCGAGAGCATTAAAGGGTGGAAGCTGTGACGTGAAAGGTTAAGTTGATGTAAACTGGAACAGGTAGGGGTGTGTGTGTGCATGGGTGAGGGGAGAGAGGTTTACTTCAGATAAAGGGAACACCATGAAGAAAAGCTAAATAGAAGTGATGACCTGCAATAAACCAGAACAAGAAGCACAGTTCACAGAAGCACAGTGAGAGAAAAGAAAGACAAGATTGCACTGGGGAAATCACAGCTCCTGGGTATTTAGAACACTTTAGTGATGTAGAGCTCTGACTTTAAGACGTGCAATGGGAAACTACTGAGAGTTTTAGGAGATAAAAACCATAATCCCGAGATTAGCCAGAAAGAGAAAGAAAAATACCAGATGGTTTCACTCATAGCAG